AGATGGATACCAGTGATATGGATTCATTGAACAACTAGTTTAACCCGACTAACAAAGCAAAACCTCGTCTCTTCCTTTGCTTTTGTCCACGGTGCTTTGCCAACTATACAACTTAGGCGCTTCTTGTGACCGATTAAGTTAATTAGTTTTGCTCTAAACGACAGATACTGCTGCTTTGCTATCAGATTAATTGTTGGCATCGCTGGTGATGAAGATGATGGAGACGGTGATGAGAACAGCGACAACAATAGGGTAGCTAACGGCTTTACCGGTTTTGCCTAACGTTGTTAGCCACTGTTAGTGGTGGTCGTTGTCGATGTCATCATCATCTATCAATAATAAATGGGGAACGAAGGATCAGATGGCACGTTTTGCTATCATCTTTACAACGTTGTTTTCCTATTCCGGATTCTGTTATGTCTCCATTTAAAAGTGGTGCTGACCATTGTCCTACAAAAACAGAATTGCGGAAGCGACGGATAAGCCGACAAAGCTGTTGGAAGTGTCGATGAAAACTGCAAACTGTGGCTGTATTGCAAATATAGTGCTTCGTATTGTTTTCAGATTCAATAATTCAATAATTGACATTAAAACGATATTTAAAAATGGGAGTTCATTTTTGTTGTCATATGAAAATATCTTGGAATTTCTTGATCTTTTTTTTTTTTTGGTTACATTTTGCCGTTTGTCGGGTTTTTATTCGTCTGTAATTCGCTGCACTTTTTAATACTCTTTTTTTTTCTTTCTGAAGTTGTGCTCTTCTGAATTTCTTTTTGTTGTACGCTTTCTTTTGTTGGTTTTTTTCTCCAGTTCTGTAAGCAATTTAAAGTCTACGATACATCAATACTAAATTTTTGCTGCTACAATAATAATACCGGAATCAGATAAGAGGTAAACAAATTGTTGACAGTAAATACTCGACGAGCATAAAATTATTCAGTCTTTTTTGCTTCCTTCCTTCCTTGCTTACTTGATTCAGTTGCTCAGTACAATTCCATTGAAAATCCAATAAAAAAGAGACTTCGCAATTATTTATCATCATTCTCTTCTTCAGCAGTTTATTTTCTTTTAACTTTTGCAAC